GTGATGGTGGTGGTGGTGGTGCGGGTGGTGGGGATGGTGGGGGTGCAGATGCCCTCCCGGCCCAGCGCCTGGCGCGCCCTTGGTGCTTCCCGCGTGCAGGTGAGTGTGGTCAGCGCGCAGCACCTTGAAGCGCTTGCGGCGCCGTAGGAAGCTGCCGTTCTCGAACATGTCACCACAGTCCGGATGCAGAGCCCAGAAGCTGCCCTTGCCGGGCTGGTCTGGCCGCCGGGGTATCTTGATGAAGCAATCGTTGAAGGAGAGGTTGTGGCGCAGGCTGTTCTGCCAACGCTGAGTGTGCTCGCGGTAGTAGGGGAAGCGCTCCATGATGAACTTGTAAATGTCGCTTAGCGGCAGCATCTTTTCCGCGGAATGCTGGATGGCCATGGCGGTCAGCGAGATGTACGAGTAGGGTGGCTTCTGGTCGCTGTAAGAGCTCTTCCCTGGCCGCGGCATCGCCCCTGCTGCCTCCACCTCCCTCGGGCCCACACTGGACCGCAGAGTCGTTCTGCGCCCCACTCCAGGGGCCCGGTGGTCTTCGCTAGCCCCGACTCCACCCGCCCAGCCCCCCCACCCCGCCTTCTCGTCCCCAAACGCGTCGCAGTCTCTCTCTGGCTTTCTCTTAGCTGTTTGTGGGCTCCGCTCTCCGCCTCCCGGACAACTCAGCTCTCGGCGTTCTCAACTTCTGGCCCCGACGGTCGCCTTCCGGCGCGCACAGTCGCGGGCGGGGCTCGCCAGTTTCACCACTCCCTTGCCGAGTCTTTTCACCCGCGGCGGGATACTAAGCGCTGAAGCTGGTGACGGGACCGTACTCCCTTCCACTCTCCTCTTTGCTTTTTCTTGGTCTGGTGCTGGCCAAGAGGGCTGGGAGAACCGGACAGTCAGTGCTCTGGCCCTTTAAGTCCGAGTTGGCGGTCCCGGCGGTCTGGGCAGCGCGACTTACAGCGGCCAGAGCGCGGACCCCAGGCCGGGCCTTTGATCTGTCCGCTCCGGAGTTCTTGTTTTCCGGGAGAGGAGAAGAGGTAAGGAGAAGGAAGCCCGGCTCCTGGCAACCTGCGTTTTTCCTTTTTTCCCCGGAGGCTCCCAGCAAACCCGCGGATGCAGCCCTAGGTGGTCGCTTGGGGGGGGAAAGTTTGGCAGTTTCTGAAGCAGGGGCGCCGGCGGGGTCCGTGTAGGGGCTGGGGCTCAGCGCGCCGGCCGCGGGCGGGCGGGGCGTCTGCGATCGCGGGGCGGGGTAGGGCTGGCCTGGGCTGACTCGGCGAGCGGCGCCGCAGCTGCCGCAGCTCTCCCCGGCGGGTCTAGAGCAGGAAAGGCTGCGGTGGTGGCTGTGGCAGCGACGCACTCTCCTGGCTGCGTTTTGTAATGGTCCCCAGGACGCCTAGACCCCCGCCGCTCGCGCTTCGAGACTATCACATGACCGAGGCTGAGGGACTGCGCTGCCGAGTGTCTTGCTCAAGCAGGGGCACTGAGGCGCCGAGCCTCCCCCCCGCCCCCTTCTCCGCCTCGCTTGGGGCGCCCCCACCCCTGGCTTCCACCACCCCGCTGGGCAGGAGGGTTTCGGAGAAGGGCGTAGAGCGCTAGCAGATCGCTGGGAGGGGCAGTCAGCGGGGTACGATCCTAGCGGCTGCGCCTAACCCGGGCGGCGACGCACCGGGAGGATGACCAGACGCTGCTTTCTTGTCTCCTGGTCTTCCCGCTCTTAGCCCTTTCACCTTTCCTCTTCTCACCTCGCTTTGTGCTTCTCCATTCTCCTAAACTAGCTGCTTGGGGCCAAGTGCGGAACACGGTGGTCTCAAGGCCTCTTCTCTGCCCATAGGGTAGGAGGGAAAAGCTAAGCGGGAGGAGAACCAGGGACGTCTTCGTCAAATGCTAACTTCATGATTTTATGGTGCGCCAACTGTAAGCCACGGCCAGTGATGGGCGTCAGGTACAGGGGGACTGAAAACAGCTTTCCGTGCAGAGACCCGCGGCTGGAGGGAGAGATTGACAGTAACCGGAAAGCAGGATAGTTACGAAGGGGGCTTGGTGGGTGGATGCTCTACCGCGCTTCTCAGCAGCGGGTGGGTGGGTGCAACAGGGGCAAGCATTTCCTGGAATGGTGACTTCTGAGTGGAGACCAGGGGACGAGTTGGGTGCTTAGAGGTTTTGTCACCTGGGTGTGTCGAAGGAAGTATTTGCCATTCTTAGCACGGCGTGGGAAAGGGAGATAATTAAAATTAACCGGAGGTCAAAATGATCAATTCACAGGGTCCTTGGATGACCTGCAAGGGAGAGTTGGATGAGCAGCAGCACTGTGAGGTCCAGACACTTTCTGTGCTCTCAGACGCCGGTAATGCTCCCAGCTGCAGATCCCAGAGCACTGCAGGAAAAGCTGAAGTTTCATTCTGGTTTCCTCCGCCTTTGAGCTTAGGCTGAGAAGAAAAGCAGAGTGGGTGGTGGTGGTGGTGGGTGGGGAGAGTATACTTTCTTCCTGCCTCCGGGACTTAGTTTCATTATATGTAAAATGAGATATTTGAAGTTGGAAATTTCCAGTTCCCTGGTTTGGAGGAGGAAAGAGCAGTTTGGGTACCCACTAGGTTCTTAATTTCTTTTTACCCCTGACTAAACCCTAAGGCACAAAGTCATCGGTCCAGACTTCTAGGAGACAAACCCTACTCCCCACCTGATGAAACCAGCTCGAGTGTTTTTGGCTTCCAACTTTTGGTGAGCTGCCCAAGGGGAGGAACACAAAAGGGCTGTGTGGCTGTGAGCCCTAGGAGTGTAGTGAGCCAAGACGACTCACAATTTTAATCTTCCGCTAGAGCTAAATTTCTGGTTAATACTATTTGGCCAGTTCGTTCTAGATCAGCAGATGTTCTGAAATAGATATGAAGTTGAAGAGTGCAGGGGTGTGGGGAGGAGGGTATGAGCAGCCTTTTGACCAGTCCTAAGGAAAGTAAACCCTTTTAGAGGTGGGAGCTTGAACCGGCTCTCCATGCTGGAAGCTTCCTATGGTCACTGGTGTTTCTGTGGGATATTTGGTCCGCTGAGGCACGAGCAGCATACTGCTACCTGGCCTGGCGAAGCCGCAGACACTAACAGTTTTAGTGACAAAAGCCCGCTGGGGCGCTGTCTCCTCTTTTTCCTTAACCGACGTGGTGCGAGAGAAGCCTAGTTCTCACCCAGGAAGTTCATGTCTTTCGGGCCACTGAGAGCCCGCTGATGAATCAGAGTGCAAAAACACTCTGAGTCTTCGGGGCCAAGGCTTCACATGCAGCGCGGGAAAAGGCATCTTTTGTTGACGCCTTTCGAGAGCCACCACAAAGACTGCTCTTTGTGAGCAGCTGGGAGAAGGTTCACGTCCCGTAAGAGGCCTAGAAAACATCGGCAGGAGAGCGCGAGGAGGGCTTTTCTAGGGGGCGCCCAGCAGGTCTCTCGCGCACAGTAACACTAGAGCTGTGAGTCCTGCGCTGGCGGGGCGAGCTGCTCACAGTTGCAGCCCTGCACTCACCACCTCGGAAAGCCGGTTCTTTCGACCGCCGCGAGCTAACGGCTTTCATCTGACTGAGCGGCTCGATGCAACTTGGACCAAACCAGAGGTGCGAATGTCGAGTAAAGCGCCTCAAGTCTCACGCTTCTGCATTCTGGGTGGATTTGGCAAGTGTAGAAATTAATACTCGACACTGAACCCCCGCGGGTCAACGGTGGGCCTGGCGTCCGTGACCGTGGCAAGAGCAAACCGGGAACGCCAGATGCGTGTGCGTTTGGAGAGGGGTCCTGCTGTAGTCGCCGCGGAGTATTCTGGGGGAATTCCCTGCGTGAAGCACGGCCTAACACGGAGCTTGGGACCCTGTGTGTGTGTGTGTGTGTGTTGATGGTTTGGGGGTCCGAGCTCTTCCTTTTCCTTCTTCCCGGGAGGATGATTTAATTCCAGCAAGTTTTGCAGGCGCGGAGAAGCACTGGCTGGTCCAAGCGTGCGCTTCAGCTGCCTGCAGACCCCAGTTCAAGAAAAACAGATCATGTAACTACCCTGGCACCGACCAGTCGGTTTCAAGTTTCCGCGTGTAATTTAAATAGAAAAAAAAAAAAAAACCCACCCAACCTCTGCACTATTCAAATATTGGCTGGCGCTGAGGACGCTGGCAAGCAAACCATTGCCCCGGGCTTAGTGTAATTATCTCAAGCGTATTTGGTTTACCCCTTAGGCAATTGTTGGCGACGCTTTGCTAGGAAGAGGGGTTCCATGCAAGCTTTTATTGGGTTTAATTGGCTCTATGGAGAGGAGTAAAATTTTGCCAGAAAAAGACGTGGAACTTTAGGAGCTGTTATGTGCTTATTTTCTCTCTTTTACCCCCCTACCCCCCAGAAGGTCCCACGGACTCCTTAGCCTGGATCTAGGCCAGGACGTCCTCAGGCTTCCGCTGACAGCCGTACCCAGTGTGAGGAGCGCAGGTCACCGACAGGGCTAGGAGGTGCAGGAAGGACTAGGAAGAAGGAAAGTTTCTTGTACACATATCGATTTTCATGGGTTATTTCTTTACCCACAAGCAGTATTCTTACGGAAGGTTGCTTGGTAAATTACTTTTGGGCATCTTCTAAGCAGCTTCGCCGTGACCCCACCTGGCTTATTTGACCGGCAGGTGAATCCTCTACCCATATCTTTCCTAGTCACTACCCTTATTGTGGGCTAGAAGAGAAGAAGGTCAACCTAGAGCCGGGACACGTGGTTTCCAGTCCTCATCCTGCTACCACCGGCTGGGTGACTTTGGAAGAGTCATTTCCTCGCTTTGGCTCTATTTTCTCCTCCGGAAACACTCAGGGATAGAAACTGAGCCTTCGAAGGCTCTTGAAGGAAATTAGGTTTGAGGTTGCGATCTCCACCTATGGCATACTGGGACTATGGCGTATTGGGAGCCTGACAGCTCGCCTGGGAGCTCAGGATCGGTGCAGTCTGGGACACCGTGGGGAGGCAGTAGCGCCACCCTTCCTCCCTTCCAGGAATCGGTAGTCTCCAGCAATGCCACCCGATCCCGCATTCTTGCGAGTGTATCCCTCCCCCAACTTTTCCGACCGCTGGAGTCCGGGCACTTGGCCCATCAGGCGCCTGAGGCACAGGTGTTTGATCTCCCCCCTCCTTAGATTTGGGCGCAGTGGCTTGATTTGCTTTTCCGGAATTTTTCCGACTCCTGGTGGATGGAGGGCTGAAGCGAGAAAGTGAGCCTGGGGCTATTTATTTATTACAGAAAAAAACTACTAGCCTTGAATTTATTAGAGGGGACTGAACTCCCAGCTTCGCCACCTACTGGCTGTGTATCTATCCCTTTTGAGCCTCAGTTCATCCGTAAAATGGACATAACCCTTGTGCTTAATTGTTGATACTGAGATTTATTGGCACCTTACTGTGTCCTTGGAGTGACAAAGAGTTTTGTGCAATGGTGAAATAACAATGGCTATTTGCTTTTACTGTTATTCCCCTC